CCTCTCTTTGACCCCTCCCATTACCCAGGAAGTCCCGCCCCCTGTCTTCCTGCCTTTCCCCTCTCTTTGACCCCTCCCATTACCCAGGAAGTCCCGCCCCCTGTCTTCCTGCCTTTCCCCTCTCTCTGACCCCTCCCATCCCCCAGGAAGCCCCACCCCTGTCTTCCTGCCTTTCGCCTCTCTCTCCAACCCCTCCCATCCCCCAGGATGCCCCACCCCTGTTCACCCACTCTTACTGACCTCCCCCCTGTCTGTCTGTCTGTCACCTCTGATCGCTGCTAATCTCTTTTCTTGCTTCTCTCCTGCCATGCTGCTCTGTATGGATCTCCAAGGTGGGATTATTAGCCCGGTTTACTCACTGCAATTAGCTAGTTCAGGTATTGGGCGTGGCAGTTCATGTGACTCTGCCCGCCTTTGCCCCCTTGGCACCCCGAACCTGGCTTCCGCCTCCACTACCCCCCCGGATTCCAAGCGTTCTGTGTGGCAGACACACCGGCAGAATGCAGAGACGTGGAGCAGCGGCGAGGAGGTGGCCCCGCCTCGTCTCAAGTCACGGAGTTGCGACGACCTGTTGATGGACGGGGGCGGGACTGGGGCCAGGGCCGGGAGCGGGCGCACACACTCAGAGAGCCCCCCCCCTGACTCCCCCGAGCCTCGGGCACGACTGCGGGCAGCCCACGATGCACCGGGCTTCCTGCAACTCTACCGCAAGATGCACAAGATTGACCGCAGTGAGCTGCTGGCATCTGAGGTGATCCGCTCAGTGCGGGCGCGCATCCTGGAGCTGGAGGCGGAGCGCCGTGCCGAGCGGGCGTCTGACTGGCAAGCGCAGGGCGCTGAGGTGCCACATGACATGGTTCCCACGCGCATTTCTGAGTATGAGCGGCTCATCCAAAAGTCCCGCTCCATGCCCAACCTGGATGAGGCGCCAGGCTCCGAAGGCACCACCCCCCGCCGCCGCTTCTCCATCGAGTCACTCCTGGAGGAGGACCAGCCTGCCCGGGACCCCCCTGAGGGCCGGCCACAGCGGCCCGAGAACGGCGCCCCCCCCGGGGAAAGCCACGCGGCCCCAGATGGCCCCACCCACGCACGTTTCGATGGCTCGGACAGTGACCGCGACGCCCCACCCTCTGAGCTGAGCGACTTCATCCAGGTGGAGGGCTCATCCTTCTGCAGCGAGAGCGACTTTGACCGCTGCTCCCTCACCTCATCCGAGAGCCTTTACGGCTCAGGCAGCCATCGGCACCACCTGCACCTGCACCACCTTCCCCAGCCACCGCTTCACTCGCGCCACATCCACACTTCTTGCAAGGGCCGCTGCCCGGCCTCCTACACGCGCTTCACCACCATGCTGCGCCACGAGCGTGCCCGGCGGGAACGCCGCCCCCCTCTGCGGCGTGAGGAGGCTCAGCCCGGCCTCTCCAAGCTGGCCTTCTTGGTCAGCCCAGTGCCTTTCCGCCGGAGCAAGGGCTCGCCCCCGGAGAGGTCGTCCCGCAAGCAGAAGCGCAGCGGGAGCTCCGTGTACGAAGCGCTGGACCGTGCCCTGCGGGACGTCTGTGAGCACCTGCGGACCCGCGGCAGGGGCGGGGCTTGGGCCGAAGGCCCCGAGGAGCGTGTGCTCCGCCGCCTGCTGTCGGAGCTGCTGCCTGACGTGCCCGAGAGGGACTCCTCGCTCCGGAGCCATCGGCAGCATCCAGCGTACTCCCCGCAGCCGGACGGCTCCCCCTGCTGGCCCGAGCGTGACATGGCGCCTCACAGTGCCTCTTTCCAGGGGAACAGCTATGCAGACTACAGCGAAGGTGGAGCGCGTGCGTGCCCACAGCCCGTCATCGCCCCCATCCACCCCCCCACCACCCCACCTCATGTCTGTACATCCGCCGCGGCCTCGTGATCGTGCTTCCTCGCACGATTCCGCCCCCCCGTTCAGTGAGGATCCACGGACGCCCGTACGCACGCCGATCGGGCCTCTCCTGCCAGCCGCCTCTCGTCTGAATGCAGCCTTGCGGCACTGATCCAGTCTTATATCTGTCCTCGTGTACCTTTGTTCTGATCTGGGTGTTTCTGATGCAGGGTTTTCTTGTGACTCTGTAGTAGCTGCACGGGACACAGCACACTGACTGTACTCTGTTTCGCTGTTGTCATTCGTGTCCTGTGTTGTAAAATGCATGCCTTTGTGACACCATCCAGGGCTGATGGTACCGTGTGTCCCACCCCCAGACCCCCTTCTGGCAGAGTATTGGATACAGCAGTGCTTTGATTGGCATAGATGTGGCAGCCATTAGCTTTGCTGCCATGGTTTTACTGTTCATGGGGGGAATGTGTCACCATCTCTGTGACTGAAGAAAATAAATATACTTCTTTTGTTTTTATGTGTGAAAAGCAGCATCTGCAAAGTGGTGCCAGTAATTCCATGTGTCAGAGTGTCATCAGTAAAGGAGCTTTTTCATTCCGTGAGGAGGTGGTGTTGGGGGGTTGGCTGGGGGTGGGGTCTGCATGAGGTGGTTATGCTCACCCTCCATGCATCCTTGTCTGATGAACCAGTGCTTCACTGTGCCTTCACCCTCTACCCCCCCCATCCATCTTCTGAATGCCCCCCCCCCACCCGGGCATTCACCTATCCATCGCCTGGTCCACGCATGCGGGGGGGCCATACTCGCATCCAGGCCCACAGGCCCTCTCTCACGGCCCTCCCCTGTGTCTCCCCGCAGATCAGGATGGCTCCAGGACTTACCCCTACCCTGAGGGGGGGCAGTACGGGAACCACAAGAGAGGGCTCACCCCCGATAAAGAGGTAAGGCTCCACCTGATACCCCATTGTGAGCCACCTGTTTCTAGGGTTTACCTCCTTGTTCCCATTGCAGGGATGTCTGTATGCCCCCACACTATGACATCATCCAGCGTTCTATGTTGATGGTACTGTGTGTCCCGCCCTTAGACCCCTTTAGCCAGACTATTGGCTGAGGCAGGGCTTTGATTGACATGTACCTGGCACCATAGTACATTTACTGTGGCGTGTATCTTAGCTCCGCCGCCGGTCCCTATGGTTCACCAAAGTCTCTCTCCTGACAGAAACAGCCTGCTCGAGCCATTTACGATTTCAAGGCACAGACTGCAAAGTAAGTATGTCTGCCTTCCTGTGTGTGTGTGTGTGTGTGTGAGGGCCTGTGATGGGACTGTCCCGGGCCCGCTAACAGGCTCTGTTGCATCATCCAGGGAGCTAACGTTCAAGAAAGGCGACGCCGTCAGCATTATCCGGCAGATCGACAGCAACTGGTACGAAGGGGAGCACCGAGGCCGCTTGGGGATCTTCCCCATCTCCTACGTGGAGGTGCGTCTGTCTGTATCTCCATACTGCGTGTCATGTCTCTGATCGTCTGTCTGTACCTCCACACTGCGTGTCGTGTCGGTGATTCTGTGTCTGTACCCCCACACTGCGTGTCGTGTTGGTGATTCTGTGTCTGTACCTCCACACTGTGTGTCGTGTCGGCGATTCTCTGTCTGTATCTCCATACTGTGTCATGTCTCTGATCCTCTGTCTGTACTTCCACACTGTGTGTCATGTTGGTGATTCTCTGTCTGTACCGCAACACTGCATATCGTGTGTGTGATTCTCTGTCTGTACTTCCACACTGCATATTGTGTCTATGATTCTCTGTCTGTTCCTACATACTTTGTGTCATGTCTGTATTTCTCTGTCTGTACCTCCACACTACATAATGGGTCTGTGATTGTCTGTCTGTCTCCACACTGTGTGACATTTCTGTGATTATCTGCCTGTGTCTCCACACTGCGTGACATTTCTGTGATTATCTACCTGTATCTCCACACTGTGTGTCGTGGCTGTGATTCTTTGTATGTGTCTCCACACTACATAATGGGTCTGTGATTGTCTGTCTGTCTCCACACTGTGTGACATTTCTGTGATTATCTGCCTGTATCTCCACACTGTGTGTCGTGGCTGTGATTCTCTGTCTGTGTCTCCACACTGCATAACGGGTCTATGATTCTCTGTCTGTCTCCACACTGTCTAATGTGTCTGTGATTCTCTGTATGTGTATCCACACTGCATAATGGGTCTGTGATTCTCTGTCTGTATCTCCACACTGCGTGTCGTGTCTGTGATCCTCTGTATGTGTCTCCACACTGCATAACAGGTCTGTGATTCTCTGTCTCTACACAGCATGATGTTTCTATGATTATCTGCCTGTGTCTCCACACTACATAACGGGTCTGTGATTCTTTGTCTGTCTCCACACTGCATAACGGGTCTGTGATTCTGTCTGTGTCTCCGCACTGCATAATGGGTCTGTGATCATCTGCCTGTATCTCCACACTGTGCGTTGTGGCTGTAATTGTCTGTATGTGTCTCCACACTGCTTGTCGTGTCTGTGATTCTCCGCCTGTACCTCTTTTTTAGGCTTCTGATTCTTCTGTGTGTCTTCCTGCAAGCATCTTCTTGTTGCTGTATTAAAGGTCTGCCCCCCCCCCCGTGGCCCCCCCACAGAAACTCCCCCCCACAGAGAAGCAGCAGCAGCCAGCCAGGCCGCCACCCCCAGCACAGGTCCGAGAGATCGGAGAAGCAGTGGCTCGCTACAACTTCAACGCAGACACCAACGTGGAGCTGTCTCTGAGAAAGGTACCATGTCCTGCGGCCATTGGGACCGCCCTATACTCTCTGCCCTGTCTTCGAGACCAGCTGGAATAAGCGTCACCCATTCTTGTATCTTAGGGACCACCTGGGCATAGGTATCCCGTAAGGAGTGTCTAAGGGATCATCTGAAGTTATTCATGCTTCTGTCTTAATGTTATCACCATTAAGAATCATCAGCACCTACTGAGTTATCACTAGTTAAGGGAGAATGTTTTGGGGGTAATTTATCATCCTTGTCCAGTCATGGACTGGTTTAACCTACTAAGTTCATTAGTTGATTATTTTATTGGTGTCCATTGGGTTAAACCTGGCATGGTAATCTGGCCTTGCTGTTTCCTCATCACTGGCCAGTAGTACTCTGACATTGCTGTGCTTGTGCCTATGTGTGCATGCATGTGACAGGGCGAGAGGGTGATCCTGCTCAGGCAGGTGGATCAGAACTGGTATGAGGGGAAGATTTTGGACACCCAGCGCCAGGGTATCTTCCCCGTGTCCTATGTGGATATCATCAAACAGTCTCCCAGCACCCCTAGCAGGAGCCCGGGCTCACAGGGCTACGGCAGCGACCGGCCGGCCGGCCCCCCCTCCTCCAAGGTAAGAGTGCCTGAATCAGGTTCTGGGGGGGCCTAGGACCCTAATACTCAGCGTTCTCACTCTTGTTCTCCTCTCGGGAGCAGTGAAGAGCTCCCACTTTCTTGGTAGAGCAGCCTCTGTTATCCCGGAGACTGAGTTCCTATAGAACAGGTTGAAGGTCCAGAGGTTGAGCAGGTCATTAGTTGGTCTTCAGTGTTTCTTCTGGTCTTTCGCTGGGTTCTGATGGTTCTTCTTTTCTCACAAGCCGATGTTCACAGCCCCTGCCTCTGGCACACCATCGCCATTGCCGAAGTGTAGTTCCTCCCCTGTCCACCAGAGGGTGCACCTTCAGGCCATCACAAGCGAGTGGCTCTCGCTCACCTTGGGCGTCTGCCCCACCATGGGAAGCCCTCCCCCCTCACCTCCACCCCTCCCAGCTGACCTTCTGTCTGATCTAGATGTCTTCAGCTCAGCGGCTCCGCTGAGACTCCTACTTACTCCACAACTGAGCCCCACCCTCATGACACAGGAAGAACCCATCCCTCCAGCCCCCTCTGTGGAGGCCCCTCCCATCTCCCTGCCCACCTACACAAGCTATCTCACTTCTCAAACTAATCCTGCCTGTACCTCCCACCACGGAAGCACACCCATAGTTTCTCAGGAGAACCCGCTGTCTCTGCAGCCAGATCATGCAGCGGTTTCCTCCAAGGACAGTGGTCCTGGAGACTTGGGTGTCAGGCATTTACCCCTCGTGAGTAAGGAACAGCCATCTGTGGATAGACAGAGCAGGTATCTGGACCTAGTGCCCATTACCCAGGAGAACCTGTCAGAGAATGAATTTGCGCAAGAGGCCAGGTCAGAGGTAGAGATGTCAAATGAGGTCCTGGAGCTACACGTTGAGGAGGACCCCTCTGAGAGCGGCCTGATCCTTACACAGAGTGGAGCTTCAGTCCAAGAGGTAGTGCTTGCATGGTCTGCTGTTTTGCTCTTTAATGGTACCATGCTCGACTTCACTAACCAAGTATGAATCCATCTAATGTTAGGACACCGTTGCTGGATCACTAGTAAATTTCTATGTGGTTTGTGGATCCTGCATTGGTTGGACAGCCCATTGTCCTTGTTTGTTTAGCCTGTGACAGCAAACGTGTTGATTCTGAAGGTCTTCGGTATGTGCGGTCCCTCCTCCGCCAGGTCCACGTTTCCTCAGATGTCGCCCAGGACTCTCACACCCTGCCTCTGTCATCCCCCGCCCCTCCCCCCCCCGCCACCCCTCCCTCGGCCACGCACTCCCCCTGCCTGCTGCCTCGGTCACCGAAGATGAAGGTATTATGTGGAACCACATCAGTAACCCTGACCTTCTCAACACGGGTCATGGGTCGCGTCTGTATGAAAGGCCATAGATGGCGCTCCCTGCCCCCTTTAAAAGAGGCTAAGTGTGTGGCATCAGGAGCTGTGTGAGGAGGTGCTGAGGATTGAGGAGGTGTGGAAAGCAAGTGAGATACTGTACAATCCATTCTGTTTGCATAAACTCGGTTCTAACATGGTATCATTAAATGAAGACACTTCAATCTGTGTATAAGATCTGATCTGACATGAGATTAGCCCAGCTTGGGCTGGGAGAACCCTTTAAAGGCTGTGAGTGTTCACAGCAGGACCTGTTCTGTGTGTGTGTGTGTGTGTGTGTGTGTGTGTGTGTGTGTGTGTGTGTGTGCGTGTGTGTGTGTGTGTGTGTTTTTGTGTGCGCGTGCGTGCGCTCGCAGCTCACCCCAAACCCTGTGGTTCTGGTTCTTTCAGCCGCCTTTGAAATGTGACATTGTCGCAGACGGTAAACCCCCCCTTAGCCCCCTGATGTCCAGGAGGTCATGCAGGTCATCTGCAGGTCACACCTCAGGGGCTTCGTCCAGGGTAGGGTCACGTGTGTCACCTGGGGGGGGGGGGGGTGCAGCACACAGCCCCCCTTTGCCTGGGATAAGATCATTTCTCCTACTAATTCCATGAAATCCTGGCCTTTACCCCACCCCCACCCCTCCCAGAGACCAGCACGTCAAGGCCGGAGATAGTTACCCTTCAGGAAAGGTGGTAGAAATTGATACGGCGGCTGTGATTGTAATTGCTGTAATTCAGCTGTAGCAGTAAATACATTGTGTCAGAAGTTGCCATTTGGCTGTTAGCTCTGTGTGGCTTGGGGGCGGAGCGGGGGGGGCGTGTCCTGGACGGACCGAGTCCCTCCTCCTGGGCGAGTATGCATGTCAGAACCAGACGTAACGCATGGCCTGCCAGTGAGGAACGGGTCACCCAGGACTAATGTGGGTCGCTGGTGAGCCTGCCGCTGTGTTTAGTAACCCTGCCTGGCGATTCTTACCGCCTTCAGAGCCGGACATGCAGTGCTGTTGGTCCTGCTTTGACTAAGCACTCGCCTTGCCGGATGATAAGCTTAGAATTTGTCATTTTACGTCTTTCTCTCCTCTTTCCCTCCCCTTCTGTGTTCCTACATGCCCCGCCCCCCCAGCCTCTCCGGCCCGCCTTCGTGCGCGACACCCAGCCCTGTGGAGGAGAGCTGTGAGTGACCCCGCCTCCCGCCCACCATGTGAAGACCCTCCCACCACATCCATATAGTGTGTACCTAAATCCCGTCTCACTCTGGCGCCCCCTTCAGGTTCCAGGCTCTGTATAACTACCTGCCCCGCAATGAAGATGAGCTAGAACTGAAAGAGGGGGACCTGGTGGATGTCATGGAGAGGTGTGACGATGGCTGGTTTGTGGGTAAGCCAGCCTGGGTTCATGACCCTCGCAGGGGGCCAGGACTGAGCCACGATTTGCCCACAGCATCAGAGTGCGTGTCAGAGTACCCAAGTCTTATGCCCCCTGCTGACTGGGATGGGCTCCAGGCAAAAGAAAAGTAAAAGATGGATGAATATTTTACATTTGTGCCCGGAGTCTGTGCTGTGCTTCCCGCTTGATCTCACAGCCACTCGGGGCACTGTGGCTCCTATCATGCATGGTCATCTGACAGAGATACATTGAAAATCCCCTCCATGCCCCCTGGCCCGTTCAGAGCCATGTTAAAAATGGGATCTCTGCTCAAGGTGTTCTTAGGCTCCAACTTTTTTTTTTTGGGGGGGGGGGGGGGAGGTGAAGATTTCAGTCCTGATGTCACAGCAGCCGGACAGCTGGCGCATTAACGAGCGCATGGCTGGGGATCACAGCACAGGGCTGTGATGTCACTCGCCGGCTCAGGGCCGCGCACCAAACGTGCCGCATTAGCTGCCTTATCCACTCGGGTATTTTTGTCCTTCCTGTTATCGAGACTGCTCTTCTGCTAAACGAGTGTGTACCGTCTGACTCGGCAGACAGGAGGCGCTGATACCCTCCTGTTTCCATGACAATTTCCCCAAACTGTCCATGGAGCTGAGGGGCGTCACTCATCTGCTCTCTGTGATCCTCCCTCCAGGCACCTCCAGGAGAACCAAGATTTTCGGGACGTTCCCTGGGAACTACGTGAAGCGACTGTAGGCTCCTGGAAGTGAGGACGTCATGGACGCGTGTGCGTTTGACACGGAGGATAGCCGTTAGCGCCGGCCGGCCCCCTTTCCGAGGGCCGGTCCCGGCAACAGCTGCACCTGCTTCACGTTCCGGTCGCCGCCTCTGCTCGGGGCCCAGCGGACAAGAGTGTCAAAGGTCGTCACCCGCGGTGACCGGAAGCCACTGCCCTGTAGTGTAGTGAGGTTATGACTTCATGTAGTATGTTGTTTTGAGACTATTTCATCTTATTAATAATAAGCTTTGTTGTTTTTGTTGATATGCAGTAGGTGTAAAGCGCGAGGGAGTCAAACGGCATAAACCGAAATGTAAACTCACAGCCTGCTCGGAGTCACTGGTAGATTGTAACCCTCCTTTGCTGTGTAACAAAGTGCCCTTTTTGTCTGTCCTTCTCTTCGTTGTTTTTCTTTATTTTCTTTTTTTTGGGGGGGGGGGAGGGTTGTCCACCACATTAGCTGACATGTATTATCCTTTACAGCTTTTCAGTGACTAATGAGGGTGGGGTTACTAGTGAGAATGTGTTATCGGGCACCAGTGAGTAAATTTCCCAGTCAGCGGGTGTTTGTAAGAGCTAATAGCTAGCAGGCTGCCCGCCCCCCCACCCCCATCACCCAGGTGCTCACTCCAGATCAGCTGATCAGGCCGGACTGAAATGTTGCCATGGCGATTTATGCCCCTTGGTTAATGGATGGTATAATACCATAATACAGGAAAACTCTGTCAGTGTTAGTCTATGAGCCCCCCCACCACACACAAAACATCATTCAAGGGCTTAAACCAGCAGTGGCACAGTGTCATAACTGACTAAAGTGCTCCTGTCTGCTCAGAGCAGACGGTGCTACACATGCCTGATGTGCTCTAAGTCTGTGAGCTCCAGGTCGTGGACCCAAAGCATAAACCCTCCGTAGGATTAGAGAGGGCCGTTGTGACAAGAAAGGTATTTAAGGGCAAAAACACAGGTGTCTTCGTCTGTGTACACTTGTGACAATGAAAAATGAGTCTCTTTTAAAAATAAGTTTTATTTCTTCGCTTATGCCAGTTGAGTAATGGAGCCTTTCGGTCTGCGCTCCAGATGGGCTTCGAAGTTAAGTGTACTAAACACTAAAGACCTTTTTTTTTTTTTTATTTGTCATTTTATTTAAAGGAGAAAAGATGTACTGAAGCTAATATAGTCACGTGTACTTCTCTGTGTTTGAACATCGAATTCTGCTTTTCTGACTCGGACTGGAGGGCTGATCCAGCTGCGTGAGGAAAACACTTCATCAGGATGTTTAGGTTTCGTTTTGGAATCGTTTGGAGTTCAGACCTCCGTCTGATGGCCAGGAGCAGGCTGCAGAGTCGCCCGAGGAGTCGTGCGGGTGGTTTGCTATCGATGGAGGGCCGCCCCAAATCCGCGGTCCGGCTTTGACGGCCCCTGTGAGAACGGGGTCCTCGCTGTGCCTGACGGCCAGTGCTTCTGTCCCCCGGGCCCGTGCCCTGCTCCCCCTGCCACCTTCCCCTCTCTCACGTTTTCTATGTCTTTTGTATCAAGCTGAAAATCAATTAAACCCACTGATTTATAAAGACTGCTCACCCAGAGCTGCTCTGTGTGGTTTCCCTTTCCTGTCTCCCACAATCAAGCGAATGGGGGGCTGGATTTATGCAAAAACTCAGTGTTAATTTATGAATAAATGAGAACAATCTGTTTATGGAAGCGGGAAATATGTTTGTGAGTTCATTCTCTGTTAGAGAGAGACCATCCATGTGGACTGCTTGGAACATTGCTATGGGAACACCACATCCCCTCCTCTGTTTGTTTCTAAGGAAACCTAAAGTCCATAGTACTTTCAGACACTGAGTGTGTGTATGTGTGTGCGTGTCTATGAGTGTGTGTATGTGTGGTGTGTGTGTGCGTGCATGCGCACGCGCACAAAGCTCATAAATGTATGACATCACTGTTTCTTTTCTCTGGCTGTTTGCTGTGATGGATAGTTGTATAGCTAATAAACCATATCTTCATACATTTCCCTCTGGTCATTACATCACTAAGCTTGTCTCTGGGGAACAAATAAACGGCTTGTCAGTTCAGGGACCGGCCCAGTGATGCTTGCAGGGAGAGCAGTATAAGCGCTGATGTCCCCTCACCTGCTAAACGTGCTCCATGAAAGGACTTAGTCTCACCTAGATATGAGTCACACTGCCCCCTCCTGGAGATCTGTGGCCTCTTCCTGCTATCTGCATCTGGGATAAGTTGCCTGGGGTCGTTACCGTTTCCGGGACGGGCCCGGTATCAGCAGGCCGCGCCCGTGATCCTCACTACTAGTGGGGCACTCACTTCCTGCCTCTGACAGCCTTGATCTGTCTTTATTTGTCCAAAGAGCAGCTCATCCCCTCGGCGTCTATAGCAACCGGGTAAACAAACTCTGCGATCCCAGAGATGCTGGCTCCTATGCCCCAGCTGTCAGAGGCTCCCAGGCTAACACGCGAAGCTCCTTAAGCCAGTTTTCAGTTAAACTGACATCCCGCGCCTGGATGACAGCTGTGATAAACAGGGTGACAGACCTCCAGGGTCTCCATGGCAACACAGAAGCGGTTCACCTGGTGCCAGCCGTCCATCACGTTGCCCCAGCGGAGTTACTGTGGCTCTTGGTGCCTGGGGCAATGGAGGCAGTGGGAAGCAGGTAACTTCGGGGGATCTGGCCTGACGTCCAGGTGCAAAAAGCCTCCCTGGGCCTGGTCCAGCCTGATACGCATGGAATGCGCTGCCGTAGCCGCCGCTGCCAGACCGAGCTTAGGCTCCGCACCAAATAAGGGCACAAGTGATGCAGGCTGGCTTCAGGCGGGAGGATCCAACTCAGGGGGGGGGAGTAGCTGGCTTCAGGCGGGAGGATCCAACTCAGGGGGGGGGGGGTAGGTGGCTTCAGGCGGGAGGCTCCAACCCGCGGGGGGGAAAGCC